ATACACAATTCATGAAATACCGTTTTTTCATTTATTGAGCTTTAATACCGTGATAGGAAATAGGGTGAGAAATCCTTACTTGCTTTGGAGTCTGAAATCGGGTTCTCACTGTGCCTATAGGCTGTCCCTAGATTCCCTGAATTTTTTTCGAAAACTGAAATACACTTCCGGTACCTACACATGTCCCGAAAAAAACTCAAAATCAGACCTAGGGCCTACTCGGCCATTTTTGGAAACTCTGGCACGGCTGCTCCGCCGCCCACGGCGGCGGTCTGTCTTAAGTTGACTGTTTTCGATCGTTTTCAGCCAAATTCGGCCAAACTTGCATTTGTTCCTGCGATAAAATACCCCTAGGACCCTCGGTAGGCCAAAAAATCACAAAAAATCAAGACTTACCGGCAGCAGAGCTCTCGGGTGCGGCAACTTCTCCGGTGCGAGTCGCGATTTGATGTTTTGCTCCGATCAACCTGTAGAGAAAAGGACGGTGATCACAGTAGTCTAAAAATTGCATCAAACGGGAACTGAGAAGGGCCTCATCGGAGGCCAAAATCGAGGAAGCTGCGGCGGCACCGCTAGACTTCGGCGGTGTTTTTCGGCCGACTGGCCGGTGGTTTGGCTCCGATTTGACCATAGGTGGATTCAGCATCGAAAAATGAGCCAATGGGAGAAATTTTACCTCGTTAAGTGGTAGAAAAATCCTCCGGTACGGTGGCGAGTGGCGGCGGCCGGCTCCTCCGGTGATTGGGTCGTCCTCACGATTTAATATGGGCTGTCCAATCGCGATTAAATTTGAAATAAATATGAGTCGTCCATCGCGATACGATCTGGGTTGTCCGTGCATGATTCAATATGAGCCATCCGCACACGTGAGATCTGGGTCGTCCGTGCGCTCTTTTGATCTGGACTGTCCGTACGTGCGGGAATGGATCTGAGCCGTCCGATCGCGCGCATGCAGATTGCCCACGTGGCCCCGTCCCGCGTGGCTTCCCGCGTCAGCGTTCTTGCCACGCAGCGTGGCCTGGTTGGCTAGGGCTGCTGACCGGGCTGCTGGCGTTGTGAAACTTTTTTAAATTGCGTTTTGACCTCCGGTTTTCGATTTTCTTTTTAAAAATACCCACAGAATTCAAAATTTCACCTTTTTTTCTCAAAATCATTTTCAATTAATTCCCAAAAATAATTTTACCTATTTTTATAATTATTATTATTTTTATTTTTATTAAATTTAATTAAATTAAACATATAATTATTACAAAATAATATTAACCTTTTTTATTTTGTTTATATATATTTTTAATTAACGTTAAAGATTATAAATATTAAGTGAGAAGTTTAAAATTTATATTTTATGTTATTTAATTAATATATGAAAATTACATATAAAAAGAAGGAGACATATCAAATATATTTTTAAAAAATTTTAATTTTAAATAAAAACAAGTATTTTAATTAAATAATAAAAAAATTATTATTTTTCAGATATTTCTTTAGATCATTCATAAAGATATCTCAGAGTTCCTCTATCAAATTTTCACTCTCATGTCTAAATATTTCTTAATTTTTCTGTTTATTCCACAATCAAATTAAGCCATTTTTCATGACTTGTCCAGAAATATTCTCAGATAATAAAAATAAAAAAAATATAAATATTCTATTTTATTTTTAAATTATAGATATATATTTTTTATAAATAAAAATTAACTACGAAAAAGCTAACAAGCTCAAAACATGTGAATAAAAAAATCATTCAATAAAGATTAACATGAGTTACACAAAAAAATTTACGAAATCAAAAAATTTTCATTAAAACAAGTAGAAATTATTTGATTACAAAATTTTTATATTTAAATAATAATAATTATAATAATGTTGAAGTCAGAAATTAAGATATTAAATACAAATAAAATAAAATGATGATACAAATTTTACTTAATAATTTATATAATATTTATATTATGTCTCATTACTAATAAACCAAACAGTTTTCTTAGCATAGAAATAGGAAACGCAAGCCTGCAAATCTTGTTGGTCACTGTGCCGGATCTGGCCTTGGCCAACATAATCAGGTATCGTGGCCTGATTGTCATGCGATCAGTCTACGCCAAGGCCTGGTTGCACGACCATCACTTGTTGCAACACCACCCAACCATGGAGTTGGAGCAGCTGGTCATGAGACAAAGGTATATCAATCAGCTGTGTGGAAAAGAAGGCCCTGAGAGGACGATCACTCCACACGACGAACAGAACTTGCCTCAGACCAGCCGCGTGACTCTGTGCAAAACATCAGACGACGGGGACCAAATCTTGCGGCAGAGTGCAAACAGATATACGTGTCTTCTCGTAGGTGGAAGACGGCTAGGACTCGTAAACACGTGGCATGCGTTCATTGGACGCATTATAACTTTCCTGCAGCTTTCTTCAGAACGACGGCGGCATAAAAACTGTCTCTCTATTCCTCCCCCAGTTCATCTCTCAAACCCTCTGTTTCCTCTCTGAAAATCTCTCCATTTTCTCGTCTATCACAATGAAACCCCCTTCACACAATAAGAAAAAAGGAAAGACATCCAATAATTTTTTTTTTAATTTTTAATCTTAAATAAAAATTTGTTAAGTTTCCTAATTACCATCTATCCTCTCTCTCTATATATACCTACAAACCTTAAACTTCATCCCTGCATTTTTTTTTTTCTTTTGATCTCCTCCCATGAGAGGCTAGGAGATAGAGAGGGACGAAGAAGGGAATCTTGCTTAAGTCCCTCGTTTGGGTTCTTCTTCGTAGGACTCCCTCTTCCTCCTCCTCTATCCCCATAGCCACTCATGCCAAATATTACCATCTATCCTCTCTTTTATATCTTGTAGTCTTTTCTTTGGATCTGCAACCATGAGAGGCTAGGAGACAAGGAAGAAGAGAAAGAAGAGTTCTGCTAAAGTTCTATCGTTTGGTCTCTACTTTTGTAGGACTCTCTCTCTCCCCTTCCTTGTCCCCATAGCCATTCATGCAAAATATAGATTCACATCATCGCTCTCATGCTTCTCCAAAAAGGAACGACGTGATAAGACCAAGAATGTGTAAAACTGGTGTTTGGTTGCCGTCAAAGCAGAAGAATGATGGACAGAAACATTTGCAGTTGAGCAGGAGAAAGGATAAGAAATCTTTATGGAATCTTGCTTCAATCTTTATGGAATCTTGCTTTTCTTTTATCTATGTTCTCATCAATAAAGCTTTCTAAGATGATTACACATATACAAACGTAGCAGTTCTTTGTTTTTTTTTTTCTCTTTTATAACAATATCAATAAAGATATCAGCAAAGAATCAGATAGCAGAATTTCTCTCACCAAAGAAATATATGCCAGCATGGGGAGGCACGAAGAAGCGCAGAAAATGAGAAAGGAAAAGAGGGAGAAGTGAGTGAAGGTAGCGGCTGGCAGTAGTTGGGCTGTGTCTCAGGACTACGAGCGGCGGAGTGGTGATTCTTGGCCAAAACTGGAAATTTGCAACTCTGGAAATGGGCATTGTATCTATCTAAAGCATCCAAGAAGGTGTAAACACTCTCGTTTTCATAATCTGAAGAATTTATTTGTTGGAAGTATAATTTACTGATAGGTATATTTAATTAGATGTTCGATGCCATTGATATTTTACCATTTGTATGACATTGATGTTCAGAGTATTATAACTGATCATGTATTAAAAAATATAATATAAACAGAAATCTGCAACTCGGATACCGAGCAATAGATCTATCTAAGCATCCAAGAAGGTGTAAACTGGAAATTATCTTTTTCAGTATTCACTTATTCTGCAGCCCTTTCTCGCCAATTTTTGGATGCGCAGAAGTTCAAAAATTTTCTTGTCCATTTGCTTCTTGGATTCAATATCAATAGCCTTATCTTCCCATGAAGCATGCTGATCAATCTCAGGATTAATTTTTTTTATTTTTTATAAAAATTCTGATTATATAGAAATAAAAATATTTATAATGAAAAAATTAAAAAAAAAAATATTACCTATAAATCTATAAAAAAAATTACTTTGTTTAAAGTAAATCATTTTCTGAATTACTTTTATTTATAAAATTAAAATATAAAATTATTATATACCATAAATCAATATATTTTATTTACATTTATTATTTAGTTATACAAATAAATTTTACACATAATCTTTAAAATTTATTTATTCTTTTAACTTATAAGCCGTAAAATAAAACTATTTTTTAAAAATTGTTTATGTTATAAATTACTTAAAAATATACAAATTATCTTTTTGCATCATAAAAAAATAACTAGTTAAAACTATAGAATTAGTGTTAAAGAAATTAATTTAGTATGTAATATTATAAAATTACTTTCCTCAGTATAACAATATTTTCTATTTTTTATATTACAATTATCACTAAAAATCTCAACAAAGAATCAGATCATAAAATTTAACGTGCCAAATAATGTGCAGGGTAAGATTTATTATATGATGATAATTGTTTTATATAATAGTTTCATGTTTTCTTAGTTGTGTTTTGAGAACACTAGTTCTATATGCATTAATAAATTTATCTAAATTACGGTCGTAAATGAACTTAAAACAGAGTAATCTCGGCATTCATAAAAGAAGAGAAAGAAAGATAACAATTTTTTTCAATTATTGGACGCGTAAGAGTTCAAAAATTTTCTTCTCAAGTTTCATCTTAATTTACAGTTTGCAACTTATACAAATTCAACATTAAAAACTACCAAACTCAAAACCCGTAAATAGAAAGGTCATTCAATAAAATTTAATATGAATTACACAAAGAGATTCGCAAAATCTAAAGTTTTTCTTTTAAAAAGTATAAATTACTTGATTACAAGATTTATATATTTAAATATTAAAAATCAGCGTGTAATAATAATAATAATAATGTTAAAGGCAGAAATTAAGATATCAAATACAAGTTAAACAAGTGATACTACAAATTTTACCTTATTTGATACTGTAGGTAATTTACAAAATATTTACACATATACATAACTTTTTTAACATTGAAGATTCCTATTCCATATATATGTATACTATGTCTCAGTTACTAACATGTTTCTATATTATGCTTTACAGATTGTAGGACTGGTTCGTGTATGTGCGTATATATATACACATACTTTCCCAGAAGGCAAATATTTAAAATTACAATTAAGATAACTCAGCTCTCTGATCTCGTCTGCCTGACATAACCTCCTGGTAAAGTTCTCAATCAACTTACAGTAATTTGATGCATATACAAATCAACAAGAAAAAAACATCTTATTTCTCTGCTTGCTAGTTCCGTGTACTTATTTACAACTACTAATATTTGCATAAAGTAATGTCTTAGGATGACTTGACATCCTTGTTAGCTGTACAAAAGCTATGCCCTTTATTTTTGCAGTCTACCGGCAAAGGCAATGAAAAAGGTGCCACCTTCTTGTTCAAGACTTAATGGATCAAGCAGATTGTGAGGAGGATGACAATCCAATGCGCCGTTCTGCAAACCAAAAGTTACAGTTTGTGAGCCCTTATGCTAACAACCAAACAAGAAGCGAAAGTTTCAACAATGGTTCTTTACCTCCAGTTGTGATAAGCTTTTCGACTCGAGAAACAATATGTTTACCGTAAGTATACCTCTTCAAGGCAGTTAAGTGAACCTTGATTCGAGAAAGAATCAACTCCAAGACTTTTGATCGTCACATGTTTCAAGAACCTTTTGCACAACATAATTTCCAAATGCATCTTTCATCATTGCCTGCATTTAGAGATTTCTGTTCATTACTCATTTGTATTTTAACTGTGCATTGTATATTAAGTCTTTATTATCATAACTTTTTCTATTTGACTAATGCCATCTCCTATTCAAAAATGTAGAGCTTATTAAACTGTAGAAGATGATAAATACACAATACAAGATACATACATCCATTTCTAAGAAACAATAGATTTAACATAAATCTAACAATAATAACACTCAACTAGAGTGATAGTAATCAGAATCCTTTCTCTTTTGATTTAACACTCATCAGAAACCTCAAGAAGCCAAATATGCAAGAAGACGAGTGAAAACAATAATCATGTGGCGTTTATCTAGATAACGTTTAATAAAATATTGTAAAGTAATTTATCTAATATAATAAAGAAAAGAGCAGAATAAACCTGCAAAGGTTCATTTTCATCCGTAGAACCAAGCATCTCTTTCACCAAAAGTTGGCGCTCCTCAGGGCCACCGAAAGTTAAGCACTTCTCAACAACATTAGAAGCAAACTTCTGCTGACTCATCTTTACAATTTGTCCTGCAAGCTTGCAAATGATTGCAGAACGCTCATGTGGTTTACCATGTTCTAGCACATGCTACACAGCAGCAAATGGATAAACATCAGGGAGGGATTACCAATTATGTTAAGCATGCATAGACACATACATATATATGGATGGCAGGGCATGTTTGCAGCAGAGCTTCCACAAGGTTGTAGAGACATAAAAAGTTGCATATATGCACAACCAAAAATCATTCAGAAAATTGATTAAGAAAACCATAAAACTAGAAAACGGAAGCCTGCAAATAAAAGCAACAGAAGCAAACGTGTATACTACTGAATGTTCAACTCTCCAGGATGCTTTTGCTTGAATCTGAACCCCATACAAACACACTTTTTTAAAGATGCAACATGTTACTTTGCAGAAAGACCAAAATAACCTGAATTAATTTTAACCACAACTGTATTCAGTATCCATCTTCAGTAATTGCATCTTCTGCTGTGAGCAATCTGCCACTAGCCCACAAGAGTTCATGGCCAGATAGCCACCAGCCAGTGATGTTATGGACTCTGTTGAACAAATCCAATTGGTCACCATGCCAGATCTGGCCTTGGCCAATAATCAGGTTATCTTGGCCTGACCACAGGCTGGTGATGCAACCAAGCCTTGGCATCAGGCCTTGGTTCAATCAGTAACACAACCATACTTCAAAGTTGCTGGTTGTAACACCACCAAACCATGGAGTTAGGGCGGATGGTCATGGGACAAAAGTCTACCAATTGGCTGTGTGAAAAAGACGGCCCTGATAGGTCGAGCATTCCACACATAGAACTTGGCTCAGCTGGTTGCACAACCAGATCTTGCCTTTGTTGGCTGTGGACGAACAGAACTTTCCTCGACCAGCCACGTGACTCTTGGCCATTGAGCAGCCAAAAAGACAACTAGCCAAGCAGATAATTTTTTTCTTTGGAAAAAGAATTATGTGTTTCACTTGTACTCCTTTTGGTACTTTCTCAAGCCATATGTCATAAGACAATAAAAAAATCTAATTACAGCTATTAACAGTAAAAGAACAGCATAGGTTCAATGGACATAACAGAAAAATAAATATCTATTTCAGAGAAAGCATTAGAAACGAAAGAAAAAAGAGAGGGGAAAAACAACAAAATAAAAATAAGAGTTGCACAACAACATAAAGATATGATGATGTTAAGCTAATATACTATGCGTATCCAATTACCAAATTGCTAGAAATCCAATATAGACGATAATTTTCTTTTGAACCATTTCTGGTCCCTTGGATTCCACCTTCTGTCCAAACTGGCATGGTAAATGACAGTTCTCTTAACGATATTCATGAAATACTCATCATCATACAGAAACCCATCACATAAAGATGAACAAAGTTTAATAAATTGTAATGGAATGGAATGCAATCAATATTTTTGGTAAAACATCAGATATCGCGGACCAAATCTAGAAAAATATACTACCTGAATAACATAATTCCCATATTGATCTTGCGCCAGAGTGCAAACAGATTGCATGATTTCATCCATAATTATTTGTTGGGTGCTTATATCATGACAATGTTCCAGGACCCTCTGATGACGTTAAAAAAAAAAATGACAGCAATTAGAAAGCTACCGTCTATAAAAAAGAAAAATTAAAAAAAAATTGCATAACTACCTCGAATTTCTAACCTGAATGACACGGCAGCCATAAGGGTGTGTGGATAAAGAAACAACTTGCCCGTAGAAAGCTGAGATAATAAATTGGATCCGATCTTGTGGGACACACTCTATACACTTCTGGATGACATGATTACCATTCTGATCACGAACACATTTCATCACTGCACCATCAAGCTCTGCCACCATTTGGGTCTGCTGATTCACATCCACAACCTCCAATGCCTGTGTCAATGTTTTGAGCATTAGGATATGCTAACCAACTTGCAAATCTTTTGTACATGGGCGTTGCCCCCTTGGCACCATTAATCAATACAAACTTCTACACTTTTATTTTTTTTAAAAAAATGCTTAGAGCATTAGAAGCTTCTAGTATACAGAACACGACACAAGTAAACAGACATTTCATTTTAACTTATATGATAACCATCCCCATATTCCATGTGTTTTCTTCCATATAATCCCTAGACCTGAACAGTTCTCGAAGAAATAAAATGGAAACCCTTTCTTTTAGGTAATCTCTCAACATGAGCATTCCAAAAACTGGTCCCTATCAGTCCAAAGCTAATGGGGTTTGTATACATAGGGGATCTAAAGAGTGTTGAAATACAGCCCATGACCGGTATGAAGTCAAGTCCTTATCACACAAAGTAATATGCATGTTTCTGCAACTCTCTCTGCTTAAAGAGGTCATATTGATACTTCAGGTTCCAAATCAATCTCTTCCATATTAAACTAAAAACAGGAAATCTTCTTATGCCTGCATCCAAAATAGTTGAGCTACTACATAAAAGAAGGAATGATTTAGACCTTTAACAGATTGGAGAGAAATAAGAAAACAGAGAAGAAATAGTCTAGTAAACATATTCTTGTTAGTGTAATTCTTCTTTATCTAGCCGCTTCCCTCAACTTTAATAGCCTATCAGAAGCCGTGACCCTTCTCACAGATTTCTCGTTTCATTCTGATGGCCACAGCTACTGGAATTAGTTCCTTTTAACAAACCTTAATGACAGGGAAAGTGATGGCTTGATGCCCTTGTTTAATCTCCTCAAACATTTTCAAATTGCTCCTAGACATGAAAGAAGAATGTGAACTCTGGATTCTTCTGGGATCTAAACTTATACATTCATTTTATTACCTTATTCCCCAGATCAATTACCAGAGCGATACTTTCCAAAGGCTTTTTGGAAGGTGAAAATTCCTCTTAAGTTGGACTGCCAGAAACCAAAGCAATATCTTTCCAAATGCTTTTTGGAAGCTGACAACTCTTCTTAAATTTAAGATTCTCATTTGCACTGCAATTCTGAACCGTATTGACACTATTGACCTGCTTCAGGTTTACAGTCCCAATCGTGCACTATCTACTAATATGTTTGTCATCTGTTATCATATTTCTGAGTCTCATAGCCACCTCTATCTCCACTACAGTGTAACTTGTAGACTATGGGGATAGGCTTTATGAGATTTTTTAACAGTTGAGTTTGTCTATTTCTTGAAATCTTTACGCTCTCTCTTCGCATGATTTTGGTAGGAACAAGAATTAGAAAATAATAAGACAAGATATTATATGTTGTGGATGTTGACAGAAATGCTAAAGTTTTAAAAGACTGATTTTTGTCCCCTTTGTCAACATGGAACAAATTAGCCTTCTTGGCTTTTTAGGCTTCTCTTTGAGTGAAGCTCATGGTCTCTGTTAAAATGCCATATTGTACTGATTTTCCTTTTCCTTTCTTCTTCTTCTTCTTCTTCTTCTTCTTCTTCTTCTTCTCTTTTTGGGGGAGTTGGTTTTAGGTTGCTGCAATATATCTTGGACCAAAATTAGCTGCAAGATATCCTGTACTGATTTTGGTCCCTTAATATTCTCTTTATATTTCCTCTTTTATGGTAATGAAGAGAAAAAAAACTCATTTTACGCTCTTCTCTTTTATGTTAGTGTTCTCTTAGTTTCCTCCTGAAGCTGGCATTAGTTATACATCAAAGGTTATGTTTGCAGGGGTCTCCAAAAAGCTAGAAAATTAGCAGAATTATGAATAACCCATGGCAGAGCTTAAAGATATTTAGCTGTTGAAACAAAGCCTATGAAATAGTGAAATGGTAACTGCCAAAAGCCAGTCAAAAATACCTATACGAGGGGTTCAGTGGCAATAACAATAGAGAAATTAAGGCAGCAGATCATATCAGATTACATTTTGGAGGATATATCAATTTATAGAGAAGTGGTATGAAGAGAAACCACAAGACAAATATCATTAAGCAAGAAAAGATTGAGACAATAGAAGCTAAGGAAAGCACCTTCTGAATTACTCTGCAACCATACATTTGAAGACTCAGAGGCAAAACATGACCAATAAGTTGGCTGGCTAGTTCTCTTCTTTGATTTTCCATTCCATACTCAAAAAACTGCAAATGAAGCAAAAAGTTTGATTAAAGATTGATCATATAGCACGTGGATGGGTATTTCAAACTATGAGCATATACTTTCTGTATAACATAATTCCCGAAAACATCTGTCATCAAAGTCCGAGCATGAGGAATAATCTCAGGAAATATCAAGTTTTTTTCTTCCACAGTGGCAGTTTCCAGTTTCTGCTGAATGAAGCGACTTCCATACTGATCCGTACTGCATAATGAAACAGGAAATAACATGCTTAGTAGCCTATTTAATACATTAGTCGACAAAAACACTAAAGATGGCTTTATGGGCATACCTGAATTCAACAACATGATCAGCAATGTCTGAAAGTTCAAAAGATCGAGCTTTATTGTTCTTGAACTCATCTAATAACGAAGACATATACCTACCATCCACAGCATTGCCAACCTCTGATTGCCATGGCCCTGGGGATCCTCCCATTTGACTTCTCATCATTGAAGGAAATCGAGGGACTCGGTCATTCTTAAATCTTCCAGAACCAAGAGAAGGAAGAACAGAATTTGCCATGGGGTTCCCTGGAAATGGCATACCAAGACCATACGATGGATTCCCATAGTACGCATGATTCAGACCACCAGATTTACCTAAACGAGGCAGATCATACTGTTGATTATGTTGAGCTAGCAATGCCTCAAGATACATTTTTTGAAGGCCATCCAAGTCTCCATGTGAACTTCCAACATGGTTCCTAATAAAAGAAGGATCACTTGGACCACGTGTTGCATAGTTAGAAGTTCTTTGCAAGTGTTGAATATAGCGTGGGTCTGTAACTGGAGAATGAACATCAGAACCTAATTGATTTACCAATCTGTTCAAACTTTGCCCATCTCCACTAACAGTTGAAGTTGTACCTAATATAAAAAAACAATGTCATCCAAAATATCTCTGCAGGAATGCCTAGGGAGGGAGAGAGAGAAAGAGAAAACAGAAATAAACTGCATCAAGATTATTCTTAATACTTGAGTTCAACTTTTGATTGAGAGAACAAGTACCAGGTACATGCTCGGTAAAGTCCATACTAGCAAAATTTGCATTTTGATTATGAACACTAGATCCCTCAAAGCTTCCAAGGCCTGAAGAATTTGTTCTTGAGTACAGATTCGCAAAGGAGGAAGTTCTCTTTGGAATATTAATTTGTCCATTGGAACCCATTACAGAAGCACTGAGGTTCGCTACCATTCCATTTTTCCTCAATAATCCACCATACTTGGTCGAATATGGGAGATTCTCAGAACAAGAATTCTCTATGATTTGCTGGAGACTGCATTTTTTATCATTGGGCATACTTGATATAAGATCACATTGACTGTCAAGATTCATTTGAAGCTTTGACTGTACAAGACAATTTTCATTTACTTGTCTAGTTTTTGACAAGGCCAAGCCAGACAACGAGGCTGCAATTTCAGCAAGTTCAGTTGCACCAGCAGACTGACCATTTTGAACACTAGAGCCAATAGCATTTTTCTTTTCAGTAGCTACAACTCTGCTTCCCACAGGAGGAAGACCAGGACCAAGAGATCTCCCAACTAGCTGTGGTTCAGGGGTTGTACTCCTTGACAATGATGAACCTACAGCAGATGCCAATGAGTGAGAATCAGTTGGGGCATGGCCCTGAACTCCCATCCACGCAGGGGGAGCAGCTCCAAAGTGCAATGTCTCTACAGCCTGCAATCCATTACATAACCCAGCTGAGTGGAAATCAGATACAACAGTTGTATCCACCATATCACGAAATGAGTTACAACTCGAAGGGCGTGAAGGGTGGCCTGGTAAGGATGCATTTCGATCCACTCCTCCCTAAGATTACATGCTCATATTAGTGTAGGTATTAGAGACTTAATCTTAGAAACTGCATCTAATGAGATCACAAGATGCTGATTTGCTAAAGCATACAAGGGCAACTCAAATATGGCCACTAACTATACAACATAAAGCCAAATCCATACAGATGATATAAAATGCATGACCCATATCAATTACCTGAACAATGTCAGCAAAACTCTTCCTCCTTGGACCTAGACCAGTACCAGATAATCCAACAGAATCATCTGAGCCTCTACCAAGCCATTCGATTGACATATTTCTGGAAAGATTGTTTGTACTAGCATTCCTCATTTCCATTAGATCATTCTCTGCTTGTTGCACAGAGAGTCCAGGCTGCATCACAAAGAGTGATGAGCTATCAGCACCATCCACCTTCTTCTTCCTCCAGTCCTCAAGACTGCTAAAAGAAGACCCTCCTGCCTGAAACCTTTGTGCAACACGCCAGTCCTCTTTTGACAGCAAAGGTGGAGGTAACCTTGGATTCACGTGTTCATGAGAATAATAATAGGAAAGATATGCTGGGTGTGAGCGTATCTCATCTTCTGACAAAAATTGATTGTTATCACTATTACTAAGACTATTCAAGTCATTAAAGTCAGAGTTCATAAACAGACTGCCCACAGCACTTAATGATCCCTCAACTGTGGGAGGTGCACTGCCACTCCTGTACATGCTAAGATCCCTTTCTCGACCAAGAATCTGTTGATTAATTTGTTGATTGCGTTGCTCTTGCAGTATTAATTCAAGCTCCCTCTGCAAGCTCTCTTGCAAATCCCCATGGGAACTCTGGAGACCACTTCCAGTAGTTGGCAACATATCCATGTTACTTCCATTAACCATCTCCAAGGCTCTAATACAACCATGACAACATATATCAATCAGGAGTTAACAGAACATAGCAAACCGAAGATAAACACAATAATCCAAACACTAGTCATAATTCAACAGCAGGATGCAGATAACTTGGAAACAATAAAAAAACAAAACCATGAACCCACTTATTAAAAATTCTGAAGACATTAAATTAACCAAAAGCCATTCAGAAGGATGACTGAAAAAGAAATAATATTTTACATATTCTACACTTTCTAAGCTGTTTAAAACAAATTCATGAGTGTTAATCATAATTGGGACCCAAATTTTTAATTATTTTTTGCTTTCCCCACTACATTTCTCAACAACCAAACAAAACATAACTGATTATCAAAATTCAATCATCAATATATATCTCCAAAAATATTAAAAGAAAATCCCAAAATCCCTTACCTCTTCACATATATCCCCGCATCAACACCTCAAAAGCGCAAAATCAAACTTCCCGATACTGAAACCGAGAACACAGAAACATTAAAAAAAAAACCCCCTCAAAATTGAAAATCAAGAACAACGACAGAAATCCAAGAAGACAAATACGAATCAATCATATTGCACGGGGACAGTTGAGGATAACTAAAAACGGCGTCGTGTTACTTACAGTGCCAGATTTGAGGGTTGATGACAAGGTTTTTGCAATCATTGTAAGTTGCTTATTTATTAATTAATTTCTCTGTGCTTAATTTCTGAAGACAATCAAAGGGGAAAAAAGACAGGAGGAGGGAAGATCGAGAATGGAAGGAGGGAATTTAGAACAATTCGAAGAAAAAAGAATATAAAGCAGCAAACATGGAGGTTGAGATCGCGTGAAGTTCTGCGATTCTTCAAAACGGTCACTTCTTATTTATTTTTTTATTTTTTATTTTCCTTTTCAGAGAAATGGAAAGAGAAAACAAAATTGAAATTTCAAAAAAAAAAAAAAAAAAGGCAGTGGGACCGAGGAGGGAGATGATCAGACGATGTGAAACGTTTGATTGAAAATGGACGGTGATGATCGAGATTTACAATGCATGAGAACGTTAGTTGCGGAGAGACTAGAGGGACATAGATGGAAAATTCTAGATGTGATTTTTTATTTTATTTTTTTCTTTTACATAATTTCCAATTTTACTCTTTGAAATTCCTCTTTTAAGATGTGAAATTTCCAAAATAATTAAGGAATTTATTTTTAATTTCGATTATATCCTATTGTAGTCAATAAATTTATTTTCTTGTCAAGTTAATGTAATTAATTAATTGATTATATAATAAATTATATTTATTATAATGTAATAATGATTTTAAAAAGGAAATTATAACTATTTGTAGAAGAAAAATACTTTCTAAAGTAAGTAATGATACTAATTTTTGGAATTTTTTTTATTATTTAAGAAATTTTTAAATAATAATTTATTAAATTACTTTTGTTACCACGAGCAATTTTAACTTTATATTAAAAAAACAATAATAATTTCAAAAACTTAAACATGGTGAATTTTTTTTTTTACATTCTTTTTTGCCGTAATCTCAAGTTACAGAATTATTATAAATCAAAGTACAAATATTTTTTAACGACAATTCCGGATTACAAAGTTATATTGGTTAAATTACAAATGATTATGTTAATATTCAATTTGAATCGAAAGTTTCTTGTCACACGAAAAATCTTCATCAGAACTCGTTGAATTGGCTTCACTCGTCAATCCAAAATCCTTGATTGAAACCATTTCATTAGTAAATTGTATATGTTCTTATATGCACAAGTATTCATCTTCATATGCGTTTAGATTTTCGACAAAAAGTACGAAACTGATACAACTGATCTAATACAATACACAAATAACTTCGTATATAAATTAGTAAGGAACAAAAGAAAAAGAAAATTTTTATTCTTTCTATAGACTCCCGATGATATTCATATAGGAGTATGACTTTGAAAATCGACTTCAGTAGGAATTTTACTGATGTAACTTGATAAGGTAAAATTTTCTTCCGAGTTAGTGAAAATGAAAGAAGATGATTGAAAAAAGATGAAAACTCGGAAATCTTTCTTACATGGTAGACTCGTTCTCAATCATTTGTCGGACCTCGTTAACGACTAAATGTGCTTTGTGGCCTCCGATCACCTCAGCCTGTTTCTTGCCATCTTTCCACAGCTGCCAAATTAAGTGAAAGATATACTTATCCATGAGAAAGAACTCATAGTTAGGGCTGTCATCAAACTGAACTTATGCTATAAATCCACCCATTAAATCTCGAGATTGTTCAATAAATGAGCTATTCCGAAGAAACCTGCTGCTAATCCAATTTCTCGCTTGAGCAACTCAAGGATGACTAAAGATTACATCGAAACTAAAGTCAGCCTTCTTACAATGTAAACAATTACCACCTTACGATGTAAATGAAACTCACCTGTATAGTTGGCATTTTCTGCATAGTTATGTAGTTGAACCCGTTCAAATACATGAGAAGGTACGATTAGCTTCAGTCATCATTCCAGATATATCACTAAAGCAAAATAAAACTGAATATATAAGATCAAAATTAACTTCTCACCAGTATGGTCCATAGTCAAAATAAGGAAACATTAAGCATTCTTTATGATAGAGCCAATTGTTTTTAACTTTTTTATTCAAAAGGTGTATTATTTGACATATCTAAGATGCTGATCATTAACAGAAATGTCACTTTAGGCATGCAAGATATAAGCTGCATCATCGAGCTAGTAGCGGTTAAAGACAGGCAAGCTAATCAGTTATCTCTCTGACAGATATAAGTTCTTCGATGAATGTGGAATAATATAATTCAATCAGAAGTTCAGAACCGACCACACACCTGGGGTTAGCGAAAAAAACCAAATTTGGCCATAATTTCATGAGTTTAATTCCACAACTGTGACACTTATTTAACTCTGGCCTGGTCACTTTAATCCATAATCTACTTATGAATATCTCAAAAATAAGGATTTGATGTTCTTCCCTGAAAATTACAGCAACATGTGCCTCACGGTGAGACTGATAAAGCTTCAAGAAAGAGCTTCTTTAAAATACATGTCAGGGATTGAGAACTGTGAAGAAAGCTGAACCTAATAAAATATCCGGAAACTTAATTAAACCCACTGACTTTTTTTTCAAGAGTAACCCATTGATTTACTCTGCACCTAATAAATAATGCATAAAAGTACCTATTATGTAAACCTTCCAATCTATACTCAACTAGTGTCTCCTCCACCCTTCAGTAAATCAACCCCTATCTCTCTTTTTCTTTCCTTTTCATTTTATTGCAACATGCTGATTCGAGGACCCTCTCTTTGATAATGATCAATTTGGGAAATGTTGTTTCAGAACTTCCCAGAAATCTCTGCCATAAGGAATAGGTTTCCTTATAACTGTCCATCATTTCCTAACGGTTTGGCTGGTAATCTACAATCACACACAATTCAAAGAATACTGTTTCGTCCATAACAATTTGCTGAAATTAGTATATTAAAACCATCAATCTTTCAAGTCTTTGTGAATGCTTGATCCAAGATAGAGCAGTAATTTTCACCATTCTCAGTTTCCTATGGACAGCACATTCTCTATACTCCATCCACGTAGTCCCTTTACAGAATACATACAAACATGACGCACATACAGGGAGAGAGATAAGTCACCAAGGGGTGTTCTCGATGCACAGAAGGACTTGCAAGGTTACCTGCATCATCTTCATCAGAGAAGAGGATGACAATTTGAACAAAGTACACAAAGCACATTCCATATACATCTTGATCATCCCTTGAGATGGACCCATTGAAGATACCAGAAGCAGTCATGCCTACAAACTTGTTGACGGACAAGTTTAACTCTGATTCCCATGGACTCCCTAGTCTCGTTGACAATCATATTCTACATATCCTACCTTATTTCTGAAAGCCGGATAAATATTCTCTAGACTTGAAAATAATCATAGATGGGCATAATCAATTCAATCATATATTATGAGTCATCATCCAGCAAGAAAATCTTTTAGTAAAAGGGAAATGCCAGTGTGAAAAATGCAAAGATTTCTCAATCATTTGTGCAAATACATCTTTGAACAGCATGATACTAATTGTCAATAGGCAGATAATAGAGATTTTTCTAAATGAGGGGAGAATAAGATAAACCAAGTTGTGCTAAAGATACTAGCATTAAGGTACAAGCTATTACCTTTTTATAAATAACCCGTTCTGTGATGGAGCACCTTCGCTTCAGACTTCAGTTTATGATTATTATCGATTCGTGATATTTATCTTTCTAGTATTGCGAGGATTTAGTTGTGCTTTAAGTTCTTTGTAAGTTCCTTTTTAAGGTTTCTAGTACTAATTAGATTAGGATTGAACTTGACTCTATAAATTAGCATCATAATCTCTTTCAACAGAATATGATCATTAGAAGAACTTATAGCAACTTAAGCTTTGTGATTATATGATACAATCAAATCTTAAGTGTGATGCTTAAGAAATCCTGTTCTTCCACCTGATATCTTAGAAATACTAATTGTGATACCTAGATTTAATCCTCTTATTCTTAATAAGAAAATTATCCTAAATTTTCATTACGAAGTTGCAGGCACAGTTTCATTGGATGACGTGTAAAATCCATAAATACAAACTATATAAAAGACCCGTGGATTACAAACCACAGGGAGTACAATCCATGTAAAGGTACAAGAGACTTACAGTAACTCCAGCACGAGCAACGAGCTTGTGTGGAACATTGTTGACATTAACACAATAAAACGGCAATCTAAACAAACAAGAGCACAAAGAATGTTTATTAATTAAGTCACCAAGGTGGCTTGCTAAATCGTAAAAGTTATCTCACTGAAGAACATTAATACAAATGGAAAGTAGTCTAAAATTATTCAACCAAACTGGACATTTCTTTACTGGTAAGCAAGCAGAGTTGCTAACTGCCTAATATGCTCAACTACTTCAAATACACTTTTTTCATCTTTGGTACTGCATATGAGAGAAAATCTTATGTTCCTCTGTTGAGAAATAAGGTACTGCTAAAAAAAATCAAATGAAATATTGTATGCCAAAGGCTTTTGAGATTCTTATTCTTGCGGCAGCATACTTAAATTTTATTAGCGGAATCTGCAGGTTTACCATAGTGGGAATGACAATAAATGCTCAAGAAACAACAGAGCAACTTCTCCCAACAGTTAACTTTAAGATTGAGTGATCACTTCATGTCATCGGAGAAGAAAAAGCTCACCTTGGATGGTATTCAGCAGCCAACTTTTCCAATTTTGGTTTTAAATATATACATTTTCTGCACCAGTTTGCCATCCTACACATTCATATAGCTTTACTTCACTAACCCAAAATGATAAATCTTCATGAAGAAAATATACTCCATGAAAAGTACATCTGTTCAAAATCTGAACAAGAACAAAACAATATTTCTAAAATCAACTACTAATAATGAAATACAGAAATTTCAGTGATTATATAGCTGCAATTAAACAGAGTAAATACAAGAAGGAAGGCTATTCACACTTATTAATCCCCAATTTCCACCTGTTCGAAACAAATGAAATGAAATTTGTAATTTCACCTAAACCAGAAACAATCACTTGTGCCAAAAACAATTTGAGAATAATTTAAATGATTTTTTTTTTTCCTTTAGCATTACAGTTTTACATATAAATTTCACATTCATCAGAAGTCCAAAACATCAAATACCACCAAGCAAGTTCATACTTTTCTTTAGATTCCATTGTTTTCTCAGCGGCCAACCAACAACCCAGATCCAAGAAACAACCAAAAATCGAATCAAAACACGTCTCAAACAAAACCAGATTAAAAAAAGAAAAAAAGAAAAAAAACTAACCAAAGCACGACTACTGGTTCGTCAAGCTGCTGTGCCTCAGCAATGACCTGATCTAACTGGGCTTCGCTGCAAATGGGCTGGAGCTCGACAGACACAGGCGAGTCATCCAACTCCAGCCAGGACCCTTCATCGGTGCCAGCGTTGAGGACCCTCGGGTTCACGCCAATCACGGAAATTTTCCCGGGAAAACGCAGGGATTTTTTCGGGAAAGAATCTGTTGTCCAGGTTGAAAACGAGGCTCTTATAGGAGGTACGACTGTAGAACAGTCAACTGAAAAGCTTCGTGGCCTCAAAGATCTTACAGATAGAGACAAGCTCACAGTTTCCGACATTTTCGAGTCAAAGAATCTGTTGCAGAGGAATTAGGGAGTATGCTGGAACTATACGAGGATGATGATGAGGAATTGAACAGGGCCCTAGGCCTGTTGTGGGCTCCGATGTTCAGACCTTCTTCAGGTGTTTGTTTTTTTATTTAAAAAAATTAAAAATTTTAATCTTAATTCACTCTAATTTTTTCGTTTACAAATTATTTTTATATTTAAAAATATAAAAAATTTGGTTACTTAATTTAACTTAATCACTGTAATTATTACCATATTATTATGTCATTAATAATTAATTAATATAATTAAAGATAACAAAGTTATATTAATTAAAATAATTTTTAAAATTTTAAGTACGAATTTTCTAAATCTATTAATTAAAAGGCATAAATATAATTAAAAAATATTTAATTACAAAAATTAAATCACTCGAAAATTACATAAAGTAAAATACACAAGAAATTTAATCGGAATCATCAGGAGTAAAAGCCCAAGCGTTCTCCGCGCGAACTGCTGCTTCTTCCTCGGGCGTGAAATCGTTCTTGATATGGAAAATTTTCCGAATCTGCTCCGTACTTTTCCCCTTCATCAATGATGCGATGTGCTTGCAGAGCTGATCCAGCAGTGATTCAGCCTCCAGGTAATCAGCCGCCCTAACCAATTCGAAAAACGTTTCTTCATCCTTCCGAAACACCTCGTAACAAAACCTAGCTTCCCATTCCTTGAGACTAATCAAACCCTCGCCTCTCCTCCTATCTCTCCACTTCGGAATCTTGCAGCAGCTCGCTGTATCTTCTTGCGAATGCTCCTTGAACCACTCGATTGCCAAAACTAGCACCTTCGATTTAACCGCCGGCAACGGAATCACGCCGTCGCCGTACCCGTCCTCCACCATAAGTTTTATGGTTTTCGCCTGAATCGCTAAAGATTCTTCCACCTCGATTACCTGGTTGTCTGATGTCAACAGCGTTAAGATCTTTTTCTCAGCCGGAGTCGAAGACGACGATGACGATGAAGGTAATGACGACATGGTTAGATGCTTATTTATCCTCAAGTAGAAATTTCACTACGTCGTTTTTGTTGATGGGAGTTATTTGTGTAGAGGTGCAGAATATATATAGAGATTGTTTTGTCGATTCCTAAACGAAGAAGAAGAAGAAGATTAACAAATTAGGAAACCAATTTCTATCAGGATTCCGATTAAAATTAGTTTTAGTTTTCCTATTCATCGGGATTATTCTTTTATTTCCGAAATAAGCAATTTGCCTATATAATATTTCTTTCTGAAAAAAAGAAAATCAAAATTCCAACATTTACCAGTTTTAATCTAACGTTAAATTGCTCTTCCAATTAGTTCATAGTGAAAATACAAGTAGATACTAATATATAACTGGTAACAAAAAGCATACTCATCTTTTGAATCAGGACCAAGGTTGTCTAAAGAACTTCTCCATTGACTTGCTGCGAGATTTCTTACAGTTGTAAATTGTGTCCAAGGGATGATGATACGATGTGCCTGAGATCTGAATAAAACTTAAATGTCATCAATCTTTGTCCTGTGTAGGAAAATGGGTAAGCTTGTGATTGCTTTAGCTACAACCAATGGGAAATTTGTCTATATAAGTTTAATATTCCATTCACTTCCATATGTTTTGATGAAAATTAGACTCTTTAGCAATCTACTCTGGTGGCATCAATATTGATATTGATAGTGTCCACAGATCAAGTCATATGCTAATTGATTTGCTTTTGACTATAATCTTGTACAATCTTTATGATAGAAAAGGTCTGACCTCCATTAAACTCTTCCAAATTATAGAGTTCGAGAGTCTAATGCATTCCAAATTGTAAAGTGTTTGCTTTACATACTTAGACTGAAGTATTCTGGCTTGTAATTTATCTGATGTACCTAGAATTGGCATGCTAACTTTGTAACTAAAGCTATATGTATTTCACGTGTAAACTTGAATCCTAATCCTCTATATTTCTTGAGAAGAGAGAGTTTACTCCAACTAATGGTATAAAAGCATGATTCCTCTAATGTTTTGGGTTCCACCAGAATCTCATGGTCATGTAATCTATGCTCAGTACATAAAGCCAACACGAAGCTACATATATATTGTTATTTTTATACTCTTATGGTATAATTTTTTGTTTCCATATTAGCAACTGGAATACTTTTTTCCATGTTTGTTAGGTAGAATCATTTACTGTGTTGTCTTTTTCTTTGTGTTATTTGATAATTACATACTGTCACATCATACAATATTAAACTGTTTTGTAGTGTTTATAAAAAGTTACTTTACTCACATATATATATGTGTCTTCATACAAAACTAAATCACTATTTAAGAAGCATATGACACCATCTTCTTATCTATTCTACTTGTCTCTATAATAAATTAAAATATGTAATGTTTTTTATTCAAAATTTTAATCCTTCTTATTAATATTTTGGGGAATTGAAGTTTAAATCAAATTCTATTACCCACATTTTTTAGTCACCAAATATTCAATTTGACCATTTTGTTTCTTGTAGCATTTTTAATTTGCCCAAAAAAAAACAATTCAGTAATGCATTGAAGAAGCTTCTTTTTCTCCTTTTCGAGACATGGGTGGAAATAAAACTCGAATTCGAATAGTTTATTCTTCATATAATAGAGTGTTATGTCATCTGATCTATATACTTTTGACACATTCGAGAAGTTAATAATTATATGATTTCATCAACAATGAAATCATTCATCATCATCGTTTTCTTTGACTCCAGGCCAGAAAAAAGATTTTGAAGCTGTTGACATCAGACAATGAGGTATTCGAGGTGGAAGAATCTTTGGCGTTTCAGGCGAGAACCATAAAACTGATGGTGGAGGATGGATACAGCGACGGCCTTATTCCATTGCCGTCGGTGAGGTCGAGTGGTTCAAGGAGCATTCAAACGAAGTTGAGCTAGGTTTAAATAGTCTAAAGGAATGGGAATCTAGGTTTTGCAACAAGCTCTTTCAGAAGGATGAAGAAACATTTTTCTAATTGGTTAAGGTGGCTAATTACCTGGATGTGAAATCACTGCTGGATCAGCTTTGCAAGCACATCGCATGATTGATGGCGGGAAAAAATCTGGAAGAGATTTGGGAAATTTTTCATATGAAGAATGATTTCACACCCGAGGAAGAGATTTCATATATAGAGATACAAA